CAAGTGCAAGGTCCTGCACGTGGGTCGAGGCAATCCCAAGCACAGATACAGGCTGGGTGGAGAATGGATTGAGAGCAGCCCTGAGGAGGAGGACTTGGGGGTGTTGGTTGATGAGAAGCTTAACACGACGTGGCAATGTGTGCTTGCAGCCCAGAAAGCCAACCGTGTCCTGGACTGCATGAAGAGAAGCATAACCAGCAGGCTGAGGGAAGTTATTCTCTCCCTTTACTCTGCTCTCATGAGACCCCACCTTGAGTACTGTGTTCAGCTGTAGGGCCCCCAAGATAAAAAAGACCTGGACCTGTTGGAGAGAGTCCAGAGGAGAGCCACAAAGATGGTCAGAGGGCTGGAGCACCTCCCCTATGAGGACAGGCTGAGAGAGTTGGGGTTGTTCAGCCTGTAGAAAAGAAGGCTCTGAGGAGACCTAATAGTAGCCTTCCAGTACCTGAAGGGGGCTACAGGAGCGATGGGGAAACACTCTTTACCAGGGAGTGTAGTGACAGGACAAGGAGCAATGGTTTTAAGCTGAAAGTGGGTAGATTCAGATTAGATGTTAGGAAGAAATTTTTTACTGTGAGGGTGGTGAGACACTGGAACAGGTTGCCCAGAGAAGCTGTGGATGCCCCATCCCTGGAGGTGTTCAAGGCCAGGCTGGATGAGGCTTTGAGCAACCTGGGCTGGTGGGAGGTGTTCCTGCCCATGGCAGGGGGGTTGGAACTCGATGATCTTTAAGTCCTTTCCAACCCAAACTACTCTACGATTCTATATCTACATACGAACAATTGCCCTTAAGACAACTGCTACTTTATGGTATCATTAAAACTAAATCTGTCATAACCGCCACTTGTGCAATGACTAAGAGGAGGAAAGGATGAAGTGACTAGGAGGAGAACTGGTTTTGTACTTGATTCTCATGTGTTCAAAAAATGTGAAGGGGATCACTTGAACTGATCATGAAGACTTACAGCTTACGATGTTCAGGAAAAGGAGAAAAGCAGAGCTAAAAAGAATGGCTTTCAAGTAAACCGACTTCAAGATATTTAGGTATTGTCAGATACAATGCACTTTGGCTGTTGTGGAGCGTAGGGGAAGGAGTACAAGGTGAGTGGCAGAGCACCCCACAGGCTTGTATAGGCATAATGGTACAAAAATAACTAAAGTGCTTGTGCTTACTTCCTCTTCCTCTCCTCCCTCCACCCAGATATTTGATATGTCCAAAGAACCTCAAAATCAATAACAATGTAATTGCTTAAAAAAACCTAAAAAACAACCCCACCTAAAAATATAAGACAAGCTCGTTTGTGAATCTTGATCGTGTGAGTTATCTCTTTCAGCATCTCTAAACTATGTTACATTTTTTAGTTAAGGAGCAGGGAAGCACTTGTACTTAGTTAAGGACCATGGAAGCACAAGCGATGATGAATTCTGCTTAGCTTGGTTCTGCTGGCCCTGGCATCTGAATTTACAGAGCAAATGCGAGACAGATGATTTGTCTTGTGAAGCCATTAGAATTAGAGACTGCTTTTAAATTGCTTGTCAATACTGTAATTCTAAATCTGATAATCAAGCAGATATAAAGAAACATGACATTAAATTACCAAATCAGCTAATGGCAACTTGAGTCTAACAGGGAACAAAACAGAATGCAAATGTTGAAAAAGTTGCTAACACAGGGATGTATTTTGTTTCACATACTCTGGTAATGCTTTTAAGCACTCTGGTGTTTTGAACAAAATTGACTGATAAAGACAAAACCATCTCTCTCTGTTCCTTGTGGGAATTATCTCTCTCCTCCCATGTGAGAACAATTGCTTTCTGACAAGTGAAAAAAAATCCAGAAGTGCCCTCTTTCAGAGTTTTTCCTGGAAGCAGACATAAAATCATTGGTTGACATTAGACTGAAAAGTGGATATCAAGGTCTTATGCTCTTATCCTTAAAGGACAGAGGACTAGCTCTCTATGCTAGCTAAAGCATCTTATCCCCAAGTCCTAGGGATGGATGGGACACTTTGAGTTCATTTACTTCAACTCTTCACTTCAGGGTAGGATCCAGTAAACCAAAATAATTCTTGACAGATTTTCATCTAAAACTAAAGATCTCTAATGACAGAGACCACATAACTGCTCCAAGCAGTCTGTTCCAGTGCTTTGTTTCCCTACTGTTAGGACATGTTCCCTGATGTCTAGGACATGTTCCCTGATGTCTAGCCTGACTCCTTGCTGCTCATTATTTCCATTTGTCTGCTATGAAAGCAGAGAAAGTTCATGCCGTTCCTCTTCACTGCTGGCTGTTACGTGCTTGAATACTTGGTGCATACCTCTTCCCACTGACCCCATCTTGTGTCTCTCTTATTCGTGCATTCTTCCATTTTGGCAATAAGCAATACCCATTCTTTGCGAATGGCTTTCAGTCAGCTTTGTATTTACCCCACATGACGTCTTCTGGACTGTCTGCTAGCTTGCCCTAGCTTGCCTATAAAAAGTCTTGCGTGAAAGAGTCTTACTGATTACAGTAGATTTCATTTACTGACTATTCTTTCCACAAAGCACTTTAACTACGTTTTAGCAAGAATTCAGGTGGATTTTATACAAACAAATCGTTATCAAACCAATGTTTAGATTTGATATGAATACTACCAGACAGACATTAGCGTATAGTACTTTGTAGAAATAGACACTCCTAGACCTGAGCAGTATCGCACGTTCCTACTATCTTTGAGGTGCTCAGATTGTGATTATATATTCCAGCAATTTTCTAGAATGAAGTTGAACTGATTGGTCTGTAATTACATGGGCTCCTCTTCCTTCAGAAACAGCCACTATATTTGTCTTTTTCCAGTTCCGATGATAACTGATGATGGCAGTAAGATTTAATCCAAAATTCCTTTAAGTATGTTCTCTAAGCAACAGAGTAACAGAAGTGAGGAGACAGTTCTGGCAAGAGATAGAACTAAGATCTCAGGGCCAGACATTTCAAGTGCCTTGCACTTACAGTCAAAATGAGATTTGGAGAAGAAAAAAATGAACAAAAGCCCTTTATGGACTTGTGTAATGGGAAAATGAATAGCAGCTCTCACTGTACTTCTGGCTACCTTTTCAAATTTCCTTGGTGGTTGTTCTGCAGGACTAAGATGCAGCTTCCAGATAATTAACAAAACAATTCTCTTACACACAAAATTATGGGACAGTGCTGATGGCAATAATCAGTTTGGCAAATTTTAATCCTAACTGTTGGTATACCTATGGAATGACAGCATTTGATTGAACAAGTAGCAAAAAGCACAATGAAAGGCTGACTGGTTTACTCTGTTTATCTTAGAAGATTTTCACTGGGAGTGGTTTTATCTAACCAAGTTAGATAGTTCTACCTATTACCTATAGGTTCTATCTTAGAATAAGCTGAGGGAAAAATGCACGGGTTTTGGAATAGAAAAATTAATTAACACTGCAGAATAAGTTGAGATAGTTACATTGTATGGATCATACAGAATTAATGGTAGCTCATGTAAATATGCCATCAGTGTTACATGAAGACCTGCAGTCAGTCTTTTGTGAAATTTACATCTGCGTGTGTATGCACACTTATATACACATACACATATAATCAGAATAAAAGCTGACAAAAAAACCCAACGTGGATCCTTCAACTTCTGCTAAGTGTGCAGAGTGGTCATAAACAACATGGTGGTTTTGATGACTAGCAAAGTGCTATTAAGGGACACCACTGCCCTGAGATCTAGTCAGGTAATCCCAATCAGGAGAACACTGCATGGGAATTAATGAGAAAAAGTTATGGAATACTCTTTCTGCTGTAAAACTTTACCAGTTGTTAATAAAAAAAAAAATCCTCTTTTGAACAGATAATACAGGTAAGAGTAAAGAATATATTTTTGCCCTTCCACCATTGTTAACAGCAAATCTGTATGCCAGTGACATTGCTTAAAGAAGTAAAACGGCAGTGATGGATTACCCCTGTCTTTACTTCAGTTCTGAAAGCCTGGTCTTACCTGAGCGGTTGTTAGGAGACATGCGCACAGGAGAGATGGAAGGCGTGCGGGATGAAGAGTACGGTCTTTGCCGATCCCTTTCTATTGTTGAAGATGAGGCTACAAAGTGATACTGCGACCATCCGTCCTGCAACATCAAACATTGCAACAGCAGTCAGTGAAAACACCACACAATTCCCCATTTTAAGTACAGAGTATTTTCCTCTAGTGTTTTCACTACATATACACAAGTGGGCTACTATCTTTTTCCTGCCACAAATATTCTTAGTGGTGCAGAATACAATGTGCTGATTGTACTGACACACCCAGAGAAAAATTAAAATGCATAAAGTTCTGTAAAATAACACATTTTAGAAAGACTCAAATTATGACAACACTGAACAACTTTTTAGGCTATTTGTTTAAAAGTTCTGCCTTTTTCCATGCCTCTATTTTCACATGGCAAACGGCAATCTGGCTATGAAAACTCTAAGACTGCTTGTTTTCACTGTGAAAATTAGCTTTTGCCCTAAATAATTTCTATTTTATAAGGAATTTTTGGAGTAAGTACATGGGAAGCTCCAGGATTATAAAAATTATTGTAACTATTTGGATATCTATAGTCTTGTTATATTAACTGCCCATTTCTTCATAGATGAGGGATAAAGAATCAATGCATTTTCCTCATTGCATTTTTCCCCAAGATGTACAGAAAGAAATTTTATTCCTTCTATTTAAAACTGGGGTAACAGTGATGTATTTAAAAAAAAAAAAAGGAAACATACAAACACCAGAAACAGCTAGTTTAGTTCAGAAATAAAGGAGAATTTAAATGTCCTGTTTTGTTCCTGTAACATAATATAGTGCAATAATCCAAAACAATGTACTTTACATTTTAAAAAGGATATTAAAACAGTTGAAAGTATCATGAGAGAATAAATTGACTTTTGCTAGTGCTCTAATTAAACAAGAGTATTTCAAAGGTCTTAAAGTATTGATAGATTTTAACTGTCTTTATCACCGCTTTATGTTAAATCTACATCAATAACACAGAGTTTTCCCATTCTTGCACTGAAGACCTTTTAAAAATGCCTACTTTCTGCTGGGCTCAGAGGAAATAGAGTCAAGCACCTGTCATGGTGCTAAACAAAATTTTTGCAATGAAAGAAAGGCTGAATAAAAAAAAAAAAACCAAAATATTACCAAAAATCAGCTGGAATTTTCCTCTTGCTTTCAGAAAAATAATTCTCTGGTGGGGTAGTAAAGAATATTCCCACTCCCTACCTCCGGCTACTCCAGGCACCCAACCCTGAATCCCACCCCCTCCCACTCTCTGTCTTTGCCCAAGGCATCTCTCTGACTCTGTTCCCTCTACAGAAACCATGGACACCTAGGTCTCAGAAGTGCAAGAGAAAATGGCCTGAAAATCTGCCTTCCACTGAACTTCTAAGAAAGAGAATTTGGTAAGAACGTGGCACTTTCTCTTTTAGAAACAACAGGAGGAAAGAAGACACTTATACTTGATGTGGAGGGGATTGTTGTAAGTACATTAAGATAGACAGATGTGACACCAAAGTACAGATTCCAAATGTCTGTACTCCTTACATGACACATTTGTATAAACATACATGTATCTCAGTCATAATTTCAAAGGAAAAAAAGAGTGAAGTCTCAGCCACGGTTTTCACAGTAGAGTCATGACTCTCCCTAGAGTCAATAGCGAGCGTTTGTCCACAGAGTTCACTCATGTTTAGGACACTTAACTGAACTGCACCTCATATTTCATGACAGTCATATTAGAATATATATGGAAGAAAAACAAGTAATTAATAAAAAATAGTAAGAGTAACTTGAAAAAAGAAATAGTTAGTCCTTAATATCACCTGCTTAAACCAAAATTTTCAGTATCCAATGGTTCATTTCCAAGAAGCAGCTTCTATACAAGCCGCATCCTCCAACCTAGAGGGAGGATCAATGAGAATACTTACAAAACCATCTGTAAAGCCTGAACTTCTTAATGTTAAATCAAATTGGTAATTATTACAAACTTTTCAATATACATACATATATTTAATATGTATATATAGTATGTTTATATGTTTAAAAATAACTAGTTATAATGTATAGCTTAAGTCCAATAGTCTTATCCAAGCATCAAGACTGTAAATAACATACTTAGCATTATTTTTACATCTCCTGTTAATAAGAACTTGCATCTACTATAAAAATGAAGCAGCAACCATGTGAGAAGCCCATGCCTTTATCCTGACGAAGAAGAAATGGCTTGCTTCTTTCTCCTATGGGGTCAGAATTTCTTACCAGAAAGGTGACTCTCCATAATTGACTGTTACAATTTTCTGATCATTTGTTTTCTTTTAAACAGACCGCTGAAGAGAAAATACCAAGAGGAGAGACTTTAGATCTGATAAAGGGAGAAGGAATAGACTATTATTACTGTCTGCCTGCAAAAGGAGGAGACATCAGCCACGCTTGCATAGCGCGAGCCAGAAATGCTTCTAGCTTTGTGGATCTGGATGCATGCGTGGCCAGGTACACTCTCCTTTTGCACTCTTGCTTCCCTCAAATAAATCCCTGGCAGGTGTGTCAGAAAAAAGTGACCTGAATCTCTTCCTAAACCTTTCTTTCTGTTTATTCTATCTGCATTGTTTACATTAATACCTGGACCCTGGTTCTGATGGGAAGTGGACAAAACAAATCCCCGTTATTTGCACGGTCCCACGGACTCTACAGGAGTAGGATGTAGCACCAGTTTTGTTCTGCAGAATATCAACAGGTACTTTGTCAACGTTGATTCCTCAGAGACAGAATTGCAAGGTGCCTTAACAGTGAGGGAACAAAATTCAGCTGTAGTTGGGATGCTGGCAAGGGCATTCTTTTGTGTGGCAGACGTTTCTCCTTCTCCTCCCTGCCAATTTCCATTTTTCTCTCTGCTGAGAGTTGTGCCTGTAGTGAGGGATTCAAATAAAGTCTGCTACAAACTTTCACATTTGCAAGCCCAATCAGCTCAAGGAAACAAGTCAGGCAAACAATAAACACGAACACAAGTATTGTGGTGACTTGGCATTGCTTTTGACTAAACAAGGCATATTGCTATCACTGTATGACAAGCTCCTTCGTGTTTTTCAAAAGCTTTACTGGCAGCTCGCAGATCTCGCAGTATTTCAAAAACCTTAGAATACTTCTAAGTCATCTATCTCTAGCTCTCCTCTGCCACAAGGAACAAGCTTCTTTCTTTGGAAAGGTAAACAGTTTGTAACAAATTCATTAAAACTATCCCCATCAACAATTCCAAAAGCTATTAGCGTTAAATATTGAAACTAATTTTTAAGAGCCTAAAGGGAGCATTTTCAATTTAATGCTGAGATAAATACCACCTGACATGATGGCTGCTTTCATTAGTTTGTTTCAGCTCTAGTGCCTGTAATGAAATTTAATTAAATTGATTTGGGTACTTAAAGGTACAGTATATAGCAGTGTCCTGCAGAGAAGAAAGCTAACTCGAAAGCAGAGTGTGTGAGCCTCCATTTCAGAAACCAATTTACCAGCCACAAGCGTGATCTAGTAGAGGAAGAGTAAGGCAAAAAGATCTGATAAATTGGGAAGAAATTCAGTGCAATTCTGTTACAGAATGGATGTATTTGTTAACCGGCAGTAATTAATTTATAGGAGGCAACTGCACGCTACAGGAGGGCCCAGAACAACGAGAGTCCAGAAACACCACTACATGCCCTTATCATATCTTCCAAGGTATCTTCAACTGGGCATTTTTCTGCATTTTGACTACAATGCATGTATGTATTCTCCCTCGACTCTACTCCACAAAGCCCAAATATTAAAGCTTGATTGGTAGCGACATGTTTCTGACGAAACATTCTTGGGAAAGCTGTGGAGATTAGGTTTAGGGTGGGGGGTTGGATAATCACTGTAGAAAACAAAAGTGTTATTTCAGTCTCACTGATCACCTTTTCCTGGGCTTAAGGAGTGAATAGGTCCTTTGTCCCCCTGCTCAACTAGGTGACTTTGAAAATAAATAATTCCCTTCAAGCCCACGGGAAATAATTATTTTGTCAGGGTGACTCAACTTACTGTGCCAAACACCTACTGTACAGGTATCTTATGAAAATATAATTTGGGTTTTCCACATTATTCTTTTTGTGTTCAAAATGCAGGGAAAGATGGAAAGCAGTTTTCAGGAATTGTGTTTTCAGGAATTTAAAATTTTCAGAACTATCTGCAGAGGAGTAGAGGAGTCCTTGATTAGAGGAGATGATTTGCAGAGGTGGGTGATATCAGACACACCATTTTCTCACTTGTAGTACAGTAGCACTGTGAGGACTGAATGAAATTAAGCCCTGATAGGAACTGTCACCATGCTGACACAACGGGGAACCAGAGCTCCTGCCTGAAGAATTCACACATGAGAGAGGAAAGAGAGGGTACAGATACAACGAGGTGGCCAAGGAATGTGTGGTGGAGTCAGGGATAGAACTCTGACATTGCCAGATGTCACAGAGAAGAGCCCGGCTCCATCCTCCTGACACTCACCCTTTATGTATTTATAAACATTGATTAGGTCACCCCTCAGTCTCCTCTTTTCCAGGCTAAAGAGACCCAGCTCCCTCAGCCTTTCCTCAGCAGGGAGATGCTCCATTCCCTTCATCATCTTTGTGGCTCTGCGCTGGACTCTCTCCAGCAGTTCCCTGTCCCTCTTGAACTGAGGGGCCCAGAACTGGACACAATATTCCAGATGTGGTCTCACCAGGGCAGAGTAGAGGGGGAGGAGAACCTCTCTCGACCTACTGACCACCCCCCTTCTGATACACCCCAGGATGCCATTGGCCTTCTTGGCCACGAGGGCACAGTGCTGGCTCATGGTCATCCTGCTGGCCACCAGGACCCCCAGGTCCCTCTCCCCTACACTACTCTCCAACAGGTCAGTGCCCAACTTATACTGGTACCTGGAGTTGTTCTTGCCCAGATGCAAGACTCTACACTTGCCCTTGTTAAATTGCATTCAATTTTTCCCCGCCCAAATCTCCAGCCTGTCTAGGTCTCGCTGAATGGAAGCACAGCTTTCTGGCATGCCAGCCACTCCTCCCAGTTTCGTGTCATCAGCAAACTTGCTGA